GTCGTTTTTAGAAGATAAATTCGTTTGCATGAAATTTTAACTAATAACGTATACTTCAAAATCATTATCTGGGGGGGTTTGGGGTCGCTTGATATAAATTTCCGGTGTGAAAAATATAAAATTCAAAATGGTGGACTTAATATGGCGGACAGAATTTTCAAAATCAGTCGAATTCGCTTGAAACTTGTTATTCGGGGGTTTTTGAAGTCGCTGAATACGAATCCGGTGTGAAAAATACAAAATTCAAAATGACGGATCTTATATGATGAACACAATTATAGAAATGAAACAAGCTGACTGAGTTTGAGAACCGGGCAATCTGACCGACGTGTCAACCGAACCTCATAGCTCTGGCATTTCGAATTTTCGATAACGAATTTGTAATCAGCAACTTCGAAAATCCTTAAATAACAAATTTCAAGCGAATTCGACTGATTTTGAAAATTTCATCCGCCATATTGAATTTCGCATGTTTTACACCGGATTTGTATTCAGCGATCCTAAGAACTCCCGAATAACAAGTTTCGCAAAACCATCCATTAGAAAAAAAACGTGCAACAAAAGGTTAATTTAGTAAAACCGCCAACTCCGTGCGAATACGAATTTCCCAGAGAAGCGACAAACGTTTCGCGTTCGAATTCGATATTCCGTATTCATTAACTCCCCCCGCGTTTGCTCTCGTATCCGCTCACGTTAACACGACGCTGTTTCACCATTTTTAATAATCTACATTTTAACGCGATTCTCATCATTTTAACGCGAACACTCAGTCACAGTCCCGCAAGTACCGCAATTACACGATGTATCGATCGCGGATATTTATACATCCTCTTACGTCGACGAGTCCTCGTGTCCTTCGTAAGGGCTCGTGTCGTTCCGCAATATCAATCGCGAGCACCCGAGGGTCGCAAAGAAAAACCAATTATGTACAATCGAAACAACAGAAGAGACAAATTCAGAGGAATTGTATCTGGTCAATGCTAACTCGCAGTTACGGATAAATGCAAAACAATCCTCTCGTTCGGGTTCATTGACCTTTCAGAGGCACGGAGAAAGAGGAGGAGGAGGAGGAGAGAGAGAGAGAGAGAGAGGGGGGAGCGGGAAGGGAGGGGTTAAGCACCCTTCATCCACGAGCAAACGCTCGCATCTTGTTCCAAGCCGGACGTCACGGTGCAAATTAGCGAGAACGCGTTTCGTGCTACGACTGGAAGCGTTCACGCTCGTGAGAGAGCGACCGACTGACTAACTAACGATCGTTAATGATCGTTTCGCGCGCGCGGTCATTAAGGGAACTTCTTTCGGCCCGGGGTCGCGAGGTATCGGGGGCGCCGCTTCATTTCATAAATGATCATACCGGGCGAGGGGGCGAGAGAGAGAGAGAGAGAGAGAGAGAAAGAGAGAGAGAGGGAGGGAGGGAGGGGGGCAAAAGAGGACCTTCACACTCCTCGACTGCGAAAACGAAGAGGGGTTCACGCGAAAAGCGATCCGTTTCCTCGACGCGAAGCCGTAGCGGAACACAGCGCGCACGATCCTCCTTCCCCCCTTAGCTGCAATTAACGGTCCTTCAACAATTCTCGATAACGATCACGTTGATTCACTTTGTTCACTCCTCCTCTTCGCCGTAACGGCCCCTTTCGCTAAGTTTATGATTTATTCGTCGGCGCTGCGCGACGTCTCAGACCGGCCGAGTAATTGGTCGTCGTTATTACGAGCAATCGCCATTACGGAATCGGCGAAACGTAATGCAAGTAACGGTATAATTAATGACCATTGATCGCTGTTGAGACGCCGTGTACCGTGTAGATATCCGGCGCGAGATCAAGAGCAGATTTCACGAGTCGCAATGAGCGCTTTATTGCTTTTACGGAACGGGAGTTGGGACATCCGTTTCGCGAAATTTACGAGAGAGAGAGAGAGAGAGAGAGAGAGAGAGAGAGAGAGAGAGAGAGAGAGAGAGAGACCTGACATGTAATTTAATACAGTGATATAGTTTAATTTAACTATATCACGTATCACATTTCTCGCATCGTATTATATCACATCACGTGTGTGTGTGATATAATATAATTATATTATGTTATTGATTATCCTTGATCACATTTGCCGGCCCATAAACGTCATAGAAAATAGAGAAAAATGGCACGTGACAGGCCGGCCGTGAAATTTCCCAAGCGGTCGATAAATAAGAGGCGGGATCGGAACCGCGCGCCGCGTATTAGCGTGTTAGCCTCGTCGGACGCAGCTCGCCGCGCCGGCGAGAGGAGGAAAAATTCGACCGGGGCCGAAAAAAATTCCGACATCCATCTCAGAATGTGGACAATGCCTGCTCCTTTCTCTTCCTCTTCCTCCCTTCGTTCTCTCCTCCGGCCCCGTCGCGGGGACAGGGATCGCAAATAGCCCAGACTTGCCGACAATGCAACAAAACGACAGAACGACGACGGCGACGGCGACGGGAAAACGCATCTTCCTCAGCCAACGTCGCGTCGTAAGCGTGTCGACGATCACGTGAAACGTAACTCGTCGTGGTTCACCGACTTCGCCGCGGCGGAACACGTGCGACTTACGCAAACCGACGATCGCGCGCGCCCGATCGAGCAACCTTTCCGCACGAGGCGCTCGATCTCGATCCCGTTGATCGGCATGATTCTCTCTCTCTTTCTCTCTCTCTCTCTCTCTCTCTCTCTCTCTGTCTGTCTGTCTCTCTCTGTCTCATGGCGCGCGTCCCATACAAGTGCCGTAGGATCGCCGCAGCATTCGCCGGAGGCGCGCGCGCGGATGCTTTCTCCTGAAGCATCACGTCTCTTACGACATATTTCCCGCATCAGGAATGCCGGAGAATTCCACACTCTGAATTGTTGGTGCTCTCTAACGGATTAACGGATTGACGAGTAACGCATTGACGAGGAAACAAACGCTCGGACCCACGGACGATCGTTCAAACGACGCACGTTACTTTGCAAAGATTTTCAATCGTAACTGTCTCGATGCTGAAATAAATGCAGCGACGATTAGCGCGGTCTATTTCTGCCGGAGCGGTCAAAATGACAGGTTTTTGCTTTTTTAACGCTTTTTTTACGCAAGGACGAGAATGTTGATTTAATTTTTCGGTCTTGTTCAACCTTGCCGACTATCAAATGCATCGTTGTGTAAATTTATGTAATTTTTTGACAATTTGAGTAATTTCGAGTAGTCTTGCTACTGATAAAGCAACGAGAAGCTCCGACATGGCCAATGCGCGAAATTTACGACGGTTGGGACTTATTAGAAAACATAACATTCCAATGGCCGGATGTATATTTGAAAAAAAGAAAACAATATTTACTATTTATTTTAACAAATGAAAGTAATAATTATTGTAAAAGAAACTCTAATAAAAATATGCCCATTTTGATACTTTTGTATTAAAATAAAATTAATTAGGTATGCACCTATAGTTTGGCAAAATAATAGTCAATCGTTAATAAATTCGTCAATGGTTGGACACGTATCCGACCATTTTGAAAAAAAAAAAAAAATACTATTTATTTTAACAATAATGAATGAAAATAATAATTATTGTAAAAAGGAGACTAATATTTGACGACTAGTTGAAAAACAAATATACCCAATTTGATACTTTTGTATTAAAGTAAAAATTAATTAAATAAGTATGCACCTATGGTTTGGCAAAATAATGGTCAATCGTTAATAAATTCATTAAGAGATAGCATCTATGTTTATATTATTTCCCGTTAGCACGTACTAATTTCCTAATTACGGTCAGATACTGGAACAAATATATCCGATCATTGAGTCACATAACCTATTTCAATCGTCCCTCCGGTCACTGATACGTTGATACGCTTCATTGCTTGTGTAAATATTTCATTAATAATAGATATATACACTGGTTTAGATAATTTTTCTCTTAAGAGAGTCTTAAGTGTTCGAATAAATGCAAAAATATTTATATCAAAACTAATATTCTTAGTATTATATGATTGTATTTTTTTGTGATGACCTACGCTTAAACTCCCAATTACTGGGGCATTTATCTTGATCTTTATCTTGTAAGTGGAAATCAGGAAACAAGAGAGAGAGAGAGAGAGAGAGAGAGAGAGAGAGAGAGAGAGAGAGAGAGAGAGAGAGAGAGAGAGAGAAAGGAAGGGAGAGGAAGAAAGAAAACGGACGATTGAAAGATTCGACACTGCGATGGACAAATATGCGAGGGCCGATATGTCAATATTGCTGCGAATATGCAAAGCTGGTTAAAAAGACATTGGTTTAAGTCATTTTTCTTTACTTAAGGGAATCTTAAATGTTCGAATAAATACAAAAATATTTATATCAAAACTATTCTTAATATTATATATTGTATCCTTTGTTATTACTGGGAGTTTATTACTGGGACCTTTACCTTACGTCTAGGTGCGAAGAAATCAACATCACTCCCGTCATCAGGGCGGACGCTACGTCGCAGGGCGAATCACGCGGATTTACGGTAATTCCCGATCGTGCTCGTTGAACCCGCTCGCAGGAAGCGGAAGCGACGCGACGCGACACAGTCGGGCCGGAAGCGATAGTTAACTGATCGTCAAGCCCTTCCTATTCTTCGTCGTATGAAAAATGACGGGGCGTAACGGCCAAGTGCCCTCGATAGCGCACGGCGGGCTTTTATTTTTGCGTCCGTGCGACGATTATCGCGGCGATTCATTGGGACGGAACGCCGATGGAAAAAAAAAAAAGAAAAAAGAAAGAGGAGCGGCCCGGCGAGCGTTTTGTTTCGCGGTGGAAGTCAAGCGATGGAAATTGATCAGCCGATCGCGCGCACGAGAGAAGGCACCGCGGACGCACTCGAGGGCGCCGAGTCTGTTCCGTCGTCTCTCTCTCTCTCTCTCTCTCTCTCTCTCTCTCTGTCTCTCTCTCTCTCTCTCGGCTTCGCGCGCCCACCAGGTTCGCCGCCGACGAAGCGGCCGATCGATTGCGAGACAGACATGGCGCGGCCACATTTTTCCACTTACCTTAAGATAAGACCCATAATACTTGGTGACGTATGGACTGTCGCATTGCGACAGCACCATTATCTCCTGCTGGATGTCCTCGATCTCATCTTCCGCTTCCTCGAGATCGATGATCTTGATGGCCACGACCTGCTGAGTCCTGTTGTCGATACCCTTGAAAACCTCGCCGAAGCTACCCTTCCCGATCCGTTCCTGTTTCGTAAATATCAGCTCGGGGTCCACCTTCTGCAACAGAGACCAGACGGTTTCTCGGTTACTTCGCCGTTCGCACCTAATCATCCTCGTCTACGCGTCATTACCCGCAAGAAGCCACGCGGACGTGTCTCCCCGTTGCGCAACGATTGCAACCGAGTGTTGAGAAATTTTGAGATTCCTCCGTGATGAGGCGTGCGCGCGCGCGCGCAATACTTTCTTCGTTAAGCGCGCCTCCGGCGGCCTTCGATTAATCAATGCGGTTGTTTTCCGCAGAAATGCAGCTCTCCTTGGCTCCTTTCTGCGAGAGATGACACGTGATGTCATAACGCGCGAGCCGCGCGAAGAGGATGCGCGAGAGTCGACGTTGGGACGTCGAGCCTTCCTCATTTTCGAAAGCGCGATCGGCGCTTTCTTTCGGCAATTCGTCGCGACACGCTTCGCGGGAAATTCAACGTTCCCGAGGACTTACTGCGGCCCGCGTGATCCCGCAGTGAGAATCACGTCGCAAAGATGGCCGTCGTTGAATAATCTCGCTAATGAAACGCACCCCCGTCTAATTCCCGTATTTAAATCTGCGGACGGACGGCCATTATGAGCGCCTGCGATGTTTTCTCTCCGCGTTTGCGAGCTATTTGCGTTAAGGAGCGACGCATTACTCTCCGGACATTAATAAATTACGGTCTCCACCTCCGTTTTGCGTACCTCACGTTTCCTCGCCGACGCTTTTCCGCCCGCCACCGGCGACGGCGGCGGCGGCGGCGGCGGCGGCGGCGGCGGCGTCGCCGTCGTCCGGGAACGCGCCCGAGCCTCCTTTAGCGTCTTAGCATGCAAATTGCCGTGATCGTAAAAGTAAGTAACACGTAAAGCGAAAAACCAATCAAGATACTGCTTTAAGTCTAAGAAGAACTCTGGAAGAGAAAATAGGAGCGACGGGGTAAACTTGGCCGTAGGTGGAAGTCGATAGAATCTCGATCGACTAATTAGGATTTTCCGATCGATCGAATATGTCGGTCGATATTTGCGTTTGCAATCGCATGATTTAAACTTAGATCGAAGTTTAAACTCTGCTCAAAAGCAGATCGTTTTTGTTAGAACGGATAGATCAGAAAATACAAAAATACAAAAATAGAATCAACAATAATCGATCAAAATGTAAGATACAAAAAAAATCTATTAAAAATCTATTAAGAAGAATACAGAAATACAAAAATAGGATCAACAATAATGTAAAATAAAAAAAAAATACAAGTAGAAAATTAACACTAAACTATTCAGCAAAAGTGAATTTAACAAATTAGAATGGATAGATCAGACGTCCGAGAACGACGGCGAGAATGTACTGCGTGCGCATTCCCCCCTCTCTCCCTCTATATCTCTGTTTCAACTGGTATTTTAACTTGAATTCGTAATAATATAAATGAAATTTTGGTTGCCTTTATTTGTGGTACGTATGAAATGATATTATTAACATTAAGATTTTATGCTGGTGGGTCTTTTTTGATAAGTGTAGGTGATTCTGTTGGTGTTCATAAAAGTACAAGTAAAATAATTAATAAAGTTTCAAGGGCAATTGTTCAACTTAGACTTGCATATGTAAAATTTTCGAATATAGAAGAAGATATTCAACGACTTTATGAAAAGTTTTGCAATATTGCAAGATTTCCACGTTGTGTGGGTGTCCTAGGCTGCACTCATATTAGAATTAAATATCCACGTGTCTAAAAATGACCTGCGCAGCGATGACTTTTTGTTGCCAACTTAAGAATAACAAAAGTTTAAATCTAAACTGTCTTCAGCGTATGCTTGAAAAGCACACAAGATGTAAAACTAGATTTATGGATCAAGGAAGGTTCAGGTAATCTTTATTACTCGTTGCGCATGCGCAGGTACGCGAATGCGAAATCGAAAGATGGCTGAGGGGCCCGAGACGAATCGCCGCGACTTTTCTCCACGAAGACGTCCAATCTGTCAGCGTTATTTAACCCTTTAACTGCTACGATCGAGTTTACTCGATTTGGACTTTCAACGCGTGTGGTACTTTTTTAAAATTTTAAAATGTGAATTTGTGAAAATCTGGATCATTAGCAAATTATAAAATATTTTATAATTGTAAAAATAACTCAGCAAAGAGGGTTATACTGGTCATTTAATATCTCAACAGTTAAAGGGTTAAGGATCGTGTCCCTCACACGACTTCCGCGACCGAAAGTTCTTCTGAGAACTACGACAAATTTTGCATCCATCTTCCCCTCGCGTCTCGAAATTTTTCCGCTTCCTCCGCAGATGAAGTCGCAGTGCAAAAAGTCGAGCGCGCTTTGCGCTGCCGCGCTGGCAGCGATTTCGAGGACGATATTCTCTCCCGATGGCATTCGTCGCTCTTTTGTTTTTTCTCTCCCCCTCTCTTTCTCCCTGTCTATCCGTCGGTTTATTTTTCGCGCTTATCGGCAAATATCGACAAAAGATGTCTCGCCTCGCGCGACACCAGCTTTAATAATGAACTTTTTACGCGTCGACGCCGATCGCTTCATTTTCCCGCGCGCTCGCGATTTTCCGCGCGCAGACCGCGCGGAAAGTCGGAAGGCCGCTATATCAAAAGCGGCGGAATTAAAGCGTGATCTCGAAACTGGACGGGGCGCACTAAGGGCGGTGGGAATAAAAATTCGCGAGTGCCGGCGAAATCCGAGGGAATCTGCTTTGCAAATTCCCTCATATATAACCAACAGCGGCGTTTTTCTTTCTCTCTCTCTCTCTCTCTCTCTCTCTCTCTCTCTCTCTCTCTCTCTCTCTCTCTCTCTCTCTTTCTCTCTCTCTTTTTTTGATTGCACGCGTGCGACCGGACGACCGGGCCAGTTTTATCGCGTTGACGGGTCCGACATTGATTTTCGTCGCCGCGTTTCGATCCCATTCCGCGCGACCTGAATCGCCGACGCTCTCGGAATAAACTCGGCGTTTGCGCATTACAAAAAATGCCCGAGAAACTCACGAATCGCGCTGGTATCATTAAAAAAGAAAAAGAAAAAAATAAAAGAACGAAAACGGACAAGCGCTGTCTTTTACGGTCGGTTCGCAATCCGAGCTGCCGCGGGTGAAACACCAGCCGATCTATTGCGCTGAGAAATGTTTGTGAAAATCGCGAAATCCGATTGGTGCGCTGCGATCTTAGAGATTCGTGTTCGCGAGACAGACCGAGCGAGCGAGCGAGTGAAGGGGAGAGAGAGAGAGAGAGAGAGAGAGAGAGAGAGAGAGAGAGAGAGAGAGAGAGAGAGTGAGAGAGAATAGGAGAGGAGATGAGAGGAAAGAGAATGACTCTCGACTGCGTCTCGCGCGTTCTTTCTCTCTCTCTCTCTCTCTCTCTCTCTCTCTCTCTCTCTCTCTCTCTCGCCTATTCCGGCTCAACCGGCTCTTTGGCGCACGTCACCTGCGAAACTCGCGACACAAATTCTAATTAGCGGGTGTCGCTGGCAAAGAAACTCGGCACGTAGGTGGCCACAGAGCGCCACTGGCAACAGCCAAGTTCGAGGAGCGAGCTACTGGAAAACGCGCGGCAAAGTCGGCACGACGCGGATATTTTTTGTATTTTCGTCCCCGAGAGAGCAGGCACTTCGGCGGTTGGTAATTCGTGATTTTGAAAATTACAGGGACCTGTGCTGTGTCCGAAAAACAGAGGAAATGGCAAAATGAAATATCTATTTTATAGAAAATAATTAGCAGAAAGAGTATAAAAGATAGATAACAAAAGAAAAAGTATAAAACATAGTATAGTATAAAAATGCAGGAGAAGTGACGTAAAAAATATAGAAGAGACACAGCGGAAAAATAAAAACGCGCGTGGAATATCGTGAGATTTCATCGCGGTCCGTGAAATGTGACTCACTTTTCCAGAGGCAGTCAGTTTAAGAAATCATCCAATAATTTGCAACCTTGCCGACAAGCCGCTGGATCGCGATCCAGCATCGATCCGGAAAAAGACGACAGTCAGACGCAGCTGACCTCCTCGGCCGCTTAGTCTTCTTCTGCTTTCTTCCTCGTTCGAGCGGAAGGAAGCGAGCGGCGAGTTGACGAGTCGTTGACAGACACGTCGAAATCGCGAGCTGGCGGATACGTGCGCACCTGCGCATCTCATAAACACGGCATTTGCATGAACACGATGATGCCTCGGGCCTCTCGACGGAGTGCCTCGCCCGTCTTATTAGGCTAGTTTGGGAAGCGAGTCGTGCTTTGACGGACACGTAGCCCATTCTAAACCGCATTAGTGCAGCGCGTCAGCGACGCGCGGGCACGTATATACACACAGCTTTTCCCCGTTGGGGTTGTCTTTGACCCAGATGCGATCGGCGGATGTGATGAAGCTGACGTAGGCTCGCCGAGGGTGCTCTATTAACCGGCTACGACGATGCTTTATTTCATTGCGCGCGGCCATCACAGCCCGCCGCGCTGCACTGTGTGAGCCAGGAAACTGAAAAAGTGGCCAAAATACTAAAAGCGTTCCAATTGTTATGGAATGTGGTAGTTCTCGGGGTTCTCGGGGTTGCCGATTTCGAATCCGTACTCGAAATTCAGAAATTCAAAATGGCGGATCCAATATAGCGGACGAAATTGCCGGAAGTGCTCTGACTGTGTAGCAATTTGATACCAGAAGGTTTTCGAGGTCGCTAATTTCGAATTTGTACTCAAAATTCAAAAATTCAAAATGGCAGATCCAATATCTATTAATTTTGTCCGGGTTGATATGAAACTTGGTATTTGAAAGTTTTCGATGTCGCTGATAACGAATCTGACATCAAAAATCAAAATTTATATAAAAAAAAATAGCGGCTGCAATATGGAGAGTATAAAATAAAAAGATGTGATTATGTTGATAATTGAAACGTCTGCAGTTTGCTTATAAAATCTGTAATTTTCAGGGCTTATCACGAGGAGGTTACAGTGCGATTTTACACCCCTTAATTACCGTATTGGTAATTCGGGGTGCTTTATTAAAGCGAGTCCCCTTGCCTCTCACTCTTCGGGGTGCTTTTTTGTCAAGAACT